TACTAAAAATACAAAAAAAAAAAAAAAAAAATTAGCTGGGCATGGTGACGCACGCCCATAATCTCAGCTACTCTGGAGACTTAGGCAGGAGAATCGCTTGAAACCAGGGGGCAGAGGTTGCAGTGAGCCGAGATTGCGCCACCGCACTGCAGCCTGGGCGACAGAGCGACACTCTAACTCAAAAAAAAAAAAAAAAAAAAAAAAAAAGGATCTCAACAGCCAAAAAGGTGGAAGCGACTGAAGCGTCCATCAACGGATGAGTGGATCAACACAATGTGGTCCACCGGGCAATGGAATGAGATTCAGCCATGAAAAGGAAGGAAGCACTGATCCATGCTGTAATGAACCCTGAACACGCGATGCTGAGTGAGAGAAACCAGACACAAAACGCCACATAGTGTGAGATTCCATTGATCTGAAACGCCCAGAACAGGCAAATCCATAGACAGGAAACAGATGAGTGGCTGCCAGGAGCTAGGGGAGAATGCAGAGTGACTGCTGATGGGGTCGGGGTTTTCCTTCAGGGGATGAAAGTGTTCCAGAATTAGAGGTGGTGGTTGCAAAACAAATAAATATAGGCCGGGCGCGGTGGCTCAAGCCTGTAATCCCAGCACTCTGGGAGGCCGAGGCGGGTGGATCACGAGGTCAAGAGATCGAGACCATCCTGGTCAACACGGTGAAACCCCGTCTCTACTAAAAATACAAAAAATTAGCTGGGCATGGTGGCGCGTGCCTGTAATCCCAGCTACTCAGGAGGCTGAGGCAGGAGAATTGCCTGAACCCAGGAGGCGGAGGTTGAGGTGAGCCGAGATCGCGCCATTGCACTCCAGCCTGGGTAACAAGAGCGAAACTCCGTCTCAAAAAAAAAAAAAGAAAAACAAACAAACAAAAAAAAAAACAAATAAATATACTAAATGCTACTGAACTACATACTTTAAAATGATTTTACATTATATGAACTGACTTCCATTAAAACAAATGAGAAATAGGAGAAAGTGAATCTCTCCAAGAGACACAATTAAAATTTAGATGCTGGCCGGGCACAGTGGCACACGCCTGTAATCTCAGCACTTTGGGAGGCTGAGGCAGATCATCTGAAGTCAGGAGTTTGAGACCAGCCTGGCCAACATGGCAAAACCCCATCTCTACTAAAAATACAAAAAATTAGCTGGGCATGGTGGTGGGTGCTTGTAACCCCAGCTACTCCAGAGGCTGAGGCAAGAAAACAGCTTGAATCCAGAAGGCAGAGGTTGCCGTGAGCTGAGATCATGCCACTGTACGTCAGCCTGGGTGACAAAGTGAGACTCCGTCTCAAAAAAAAAAAGTAGATGTTTTTCGTTCTTAAACTTCATATATATATCTATATATATACATACACACATGTATATACGTACACACACATACACACACACACGAAACCTAAGAAAAGGTCTCGCTCTGTCACCCAGGCTGGAGTACAGTGACACAATCATGGTTCACTGCAGCCTCCCAATTAGCTGGGACTACAGACACACACCAGTACACCTGACTAATTTTTTCTTTTTTTACTTTTTGTAGATATGGGGTCTCACTATGTTGCCCAGGCTGCTTTTGAATTCCTGACCTCAAATGATCCTCTAGCCTTGGCCTCCAAAAGAGCTGGGATTATAGGTGTGAGCCACACCTGGCCCGTATATTTTTCTTATTTTTTTTTTCTACAAGTAACATCCATAGCTTTTGTAAAAAGAGAAAGGGGCCCTCCAAATATTCATTTTAAAACATTAGGGCCGGGCATGGTGGTTCACACCTGTAATCCCAGCACTTGGGAGGCTGAGGCGGGCGGATCACCTGAGGTCGGGAGTTCGAGACCAGCCTGACCAACATGGAGAAACCTGGTCTCTACTAAAAATACAAAATTAGCCGGGCGTGGTGGGACATGCCTGTAATCCCAGCTACTCAGGAGGCTGAGGCAGGAGAATTGCTTGAACCCAAAGATGGAGGTTGCAGTGAGCCGAGATCACGCCACTGCACTCCAGCCTGGGTGACAGAGGAAAACTCTGTCTCAAAAAAAAAAAAAAAAAAAAAAATTGTGTTAAAAGACATTTTTGAGTTTTGAACCAGCAGTTTGAGCTCCACCCGGTGTGCTGAGGGGAAAAAAGCTAAAGGCAGGCAACCTCAAACCACAAAGGCAAAATCCAAGAGGCAGGACAAGGCAGCTTTGTGCCAGAAGGCTCTGGAACGCTCCAGATCCACCTTTCTGCCTTGCCAGTTCTGAGACCCCACCGAGGCGAGTCCCCTCCCACTGTTTCCTCACCTATAAAATGGTCTGATAAGGCACCAAGCCAAAGGGTCTCCTCAGGAGCTCCACCCTCCTCCCAGGCATGGCGCTGTCCCCGCCCCAGCACCCTGACATCCAGTCCCAAAGCAGAGCCTATCCCCGTCACCTCGAGATGCATCCTGAACCCCTGCCTTTCTCCACGGCCCCGCCCCACACAGGCTCACCCATCAATTGCTGGCACCCCGCTCTGGCCTCTACTCCCGCCTCCTGCTACCCACAGCAGCCACAGTGGCTTTTTAAAATTATTATTTTTGAGACAGAGTCTCACTCCGTTGCCCAGGCTGGAGCGCAGTGGCACCATCTCAGCTCACTGCAACCTCTCCCTCCCGGGCTGAAGCGATTCTCCTGCCTCAGCCTCCCGAGTAGCTGGGATGACAGGCGCGTGCCACCACGCCCAGCTAATTTTTGTATTTTAGTAGAGATGGGGTTTCACCACGTAGGCCAGGCTGGTCTCAAACTCCTGAACTCAAGTAATCCACTCGCCTCAGCCTCTCAAAGTGCTGGGATTGCGTGCGTGAGCCACCGCGCCTGGCCCACAGTGGCTTCTGAAAATCATAAATCAGAACACCGACCTCCCCCGCTCACGCACTCTCCATGGCTCCCCATTCCCTCCAAGCGCCCCCCTAACCCCCGCCTGTGTACACGGACCTCAGCCGCCACTGCGTCATATCACTTTGCACACTTCACTCCTTTCTTTTCTTTTCTGTTTTTTTTTTTGTTTTTTTTTTTAAAGAGATGGGCCGGGCACAGCAGCTCACGCCTGTAATCCCAGCACTTTGGGAGGCAGAGGTGGCCGGATTACCTGAGGTCAGGACTTCTGAGACCACCGTGGCCAACATGGTGAAACCCCAACTGCACTAAAAATGCAAAAATCAGCCGGGTGTGATGGCAGGGGCCTGTCATCCCAGCTGCTCGGGAGGCTGAGGAAGGAGAATGGCTTGAACCAGGGAGTTGGAAGTTGCACGGAGCCGAGATTGCACCACTGCACTCCAGCCTGGCGACAGAGCAAGATTTCATCTCAAAAAAAAAAAGAAAAGAAAATTGCTTAATGAGTTCAATGTCTATTATTTGGGAGATGGATGCCCTAAAATCTCTGACTTCACCACTTCACAATCTATGCGTGTAACAGAATTACACTTGTGCTCCATAAGTTTATAATCAATTAAAGAAATCATAGTAACATTCAATCAATAGGTCTTTTCTTTTGAGAGACAGTCTCATTCTGTGGCCCAGGTTGGAGTGCAGTGGCACAATATCGGCTCAAGAACAACATAACAAATAAGAAGACCCAATTGTTCCCTTCCCCATGAGACAATGTCCCCGCAGGAGGAGGAAGTGCAACTCAGCCCTCAGCAGTTCAGTGTGGCCACCACCCCCCAGCCCCGGACCCCATCCTCCTGCTTCTTGGAAGTGACCCAAAGGTTTGACCATTACATATGATGGTGATAAAAACAGACGTGACCAGCCAGGCGCAGTGGCCCACGCCTCTAATCCCAGCACTTTGGGCGGCCAAGGCAGGAGGATCACTTGAGCCCAGGAGCTGGAGGCCAGCCTGGGCAACATAGCAAGACCCAGTCTCTACAGAAACGTATTTTTTCTTTCTTTTCTTTTCCTTTTCCTTTTTTTAGAGATGGAGTGTCACACTGTCACCCAAGCTGGAGTGCAGTGGCATGGTCTCAGCTCACCGCAACCTCTGCTTCCCAGGTTCAAGCAATTCTCCTGCCTCAGCCTCTGGAGTAGCTGGGAATGCAGGCGCACACTGCCACGCCTGGCTAATTTTTTGTATTTTAGTAGAGACAGGGTTTCGCCGTGTTGCCCAGGCTAGTCTTGAACTCCTGAACTCAGGTAATCCACCCGCCTCAGCCTAGCAAAGTGCTAGGATTACAGGCATGAGCCACCGGGCCTGGCCTATTTTTTATTTTTTAAAAAAGTCTAATTAATTAATTTATTTTTGAGATAAGAGTCTCACTGTGTCACCCACGCTGGAGTGCAATGGCATGATCCTGGCTCACTGCAACCTCTGCCTCCCGGGTTCATGCAGTTCTCCTGCCTCAGACTCCCAAGTAGCTGGGATTACAGGCACCTGCACCACATCCAGCTAATTTTTGTATTTTTAGTAGAGACGGGGGTCTCACCATGTTGACCAGGCTGGTCTCCAACTCTGACCTCAAGTGATCCACCTACCTTGGCCTCCCAAAGTGCTGGGATGGAAAGCCACCATGCCTGGCCTCTATAAAAATAAAACTAAAAAATTAGCCAGGCATGGTGATGGGTTCCTGTGGTCCCAGCTACTCCGGAGGCTGAGGCAGCAGAACAGCTTGAACCCGGGAGGCAGAGGTTGCGGTGAGCCGAGACTGTGCCACCTCACTCCAGCCTGGGCACCAGAGCGAGACTCCATCTCAAAAAAAAAAAAAAATTTTTTTTAAATGGACTTAACCCAAGTGTCCAAACACAGGGGACAGCTGGGGACAGAAAAGCCCATTCATTCCTAGTGCTGAGGATCCAATGAATCCTAGCTCCTCCTCCTCTCACCAACTGTGGCACCTCGAGCAACTCCCCTCCCCTCCCTAAGCCTCAGTTTACCCTTCTGCAAAATGAGGTTAAGGATGGTCCCGGTATCCTGCTGCTCCACCTTCCCTGGGGACACCCAGACCTGCCTGTGATCCACAGCCAGCCGGCTGAGAAACTTACCAGGATGTAATCAGCCCACATGTCTCGAGCTGATTTCAGGGCTGCCTGGCGCAATTTCATGACATGCTCGTAGCGTGAGTCAGACCAGTGTTTGGGGCCCTCCTCGTCCGGGTAGGATCTGCGGAGAGGCAGCTGTGATGTGGACAGCACAAGATACTATCAAAGCCCAGTGAGGGCCTGAGCTGCCTTTGGGGTAATCAGAGAGAGCTTCCTGGAGGAGGGGACATGTAAGCTCATCTGAGTAGGGGAAAAAGGAAACGAGGAGAAAAGGGAAGTGGGGAGAATGTCCCTCGCTGGAGGCACAGCCTGTGCTAAGGGCTGGAGGGAAGAAAGCCCGAGGCACACTGGAGGAAAGGAAAGACGCTCGAGTGGCGCCCAGTGCAGTGGCCCACGCCTGCGATCCCAGCACTTTGGGAGGCAGAGGTGAAGGATCACTTGAGGCCAGTGCTTCAAGACCAGCCGGGGCAATGCAGTGAGACCCTATCTCTACAAAAACTACAAAAACATTTAGCTGGCCATGACTACATGTCCCTGTAGTCCCAGCTACTCAGGAGGCTGAGGCGGGAGGATGGCTTGAGCCCAGGAGGTGAAGGCTACAGTAAGCCGCGTTCACTCTACTGCACTCCAGCCTGGGTGACAGAGTAAGGCCCTGTCTCAAAAAAAAAAAAAAAAAAAGCCCATAAAGGAACTAGGTGTTGGAGGGGCAGGCAGTAGTTCATGCTGCCCAGGGCCTCAGGGGCAGCTAAACAGCAGAGCCAGTGCTGGGACCAAGACTGAGTCGCTGAGGCGGGGAACAAAGCAGTGGGCGTGGCCGGGAACAAAGCAGTGGGCGTGGCCAGAAGAAAAAGGGAGTGAAGGAATTCTAGGTGTGGGAACGGCTTGGACAAAGGTCTGGCGGGAGGATTGTGGCCCATTTGTGAAGCTGAGGGAGAGAGAGGAACCCAGGACCTGTAGTTCTGTCCGGGGACAATGGAGGGTGTGTGAGCAGAGGCACAGTCAGATCAGGAGCAGGGAAAGGCGCTCACCTGGGCTCCTCCGCTGGCCGCCACTCCACGGAATGGTACAAACTCTTCACCGCCACCAGCCACTCCCGCAGCACAGTTGACGTGTTGTCCACGTTGTGATCCGTGGCCACCCTGCAAGGAGAGGGGACGGGCAGCGCAGTTGGCGAGACTGAGGCAGGACCAGGCAGCAGCAAGGCCAGTCAAGGTCCGCATCCCGATTGGCCTCCCACCAGGTATGTAGCCCCGGACAGGACACTTCCCTGTTTCCATGTCAGTTTCCTCATCGGTAACACGGGGGTGTAAACAGGACCCAGTTTACTGGGAAGTGGGAGGGATTAAACAAGCTAATTTTGGAAAGAACATTAGTGATTGGCGGGTTTATTACTAAGCTTCTAGGAGCGTGCAAACCACATTCACTAACAAATATATGTAGCTTAACTTTTTAAACATATATATCAGGCCGGGTACAATGGCTCACGCCTGTCACCCCAACACTTCAGGAGGCTGAGGCAGGTGGATCACCTGAGGTCAGGAGTCTGAGACCAGCCCGGCCAGCACGGCAAAACCCAGTCTCTACTAAAAATTTAAAAAGTAGCCAGGCATGGTGGTGGGCACCTATAATCCCAGCTACTTGGGAGGCTGAGGCAGGAGAATCACTTGAACCCAGGAGGTGGAGGTTGCAGTGAGCCAAGATCACACCACTTCACTCCAGCCTGGGCGACAGAGCAAGACTCCGTCTCAAAAAATTAATAAATAGGTCTGGCGTGGTGGCTCACGCCTGTAATCCCAGCACTTTGGGAGGCCGAGGTGGGCAGATCACCTAAGGTTGGGAGTTCAAGACCAGCTGACAAACATGGAGAAACCCCGTCTCTACTAAAAATACAAAATTAGCCAGGCTTGGTGGTGCATGCCTGTAGTCCCAGCTACCTGGGAGGCTGAGGTGGGAGAATCACTTGAACCTGGGAGGTTCAAGATTGTGCCATTGCACTCCAGCCTGGGCAACAAGAGCGAAACTCTGTCTCAAAAAAGAAAAATAATATTTATTATAAATATTATAAACTCTGTCTCAAAAAATGATAAATCATTTTAAAAATAAAATGTATCTATCATAAACCAGCTGGGCACAGTAGCTCACGCCCACAAATGTTGGCCGGGCGTGGTGGCTCAGGCCTGTAATACCGGCACTTCGGGAGGCTGAGGCCGGCAGATCACTTGAGCTCGGGAGTTCAAGACCAGCCTAGTCAATATGGCAAAACCCTGTCTCCAGAAAAAATACAAAAATTAGCCGGTGCACTGGTGTATGCCTATAGTTCCATCTACTCAGGAAGCTGAGGGAGTTGAATCACTTGAGCCCAGGAGAGGGAAGTTGCCGTGAGCCGGGATTGCGCCACTGCACTCCAGCCTAGGTGATGAATGTAAAACCCTATATCAAAACAGAAGTATACCTCAGCAGGGCGCAGTGGCTCACACCTGTAATACCAGCACTTTGGGAGGCCGAGGCGGGTGGATCACAAGATCAGGAATTCGAGACCAGCCTGGCCGCAATGGTGAAACCCTGTCTCTGCTAAAAGTACAAAAATTAGCCGGGCATGGTGGCTCGAGCCTGTAATTCCAGCTACTCGGGAGGCTGAGGCAGGAGAATCACTTGAACCCGGGAGGTGGAGGTTGCAGTGAGCCAAGATCATTGCAGTTGCTGGAGCCACTGCACTCCAGCCTGGGAAACAGAGTAAGACTCCGTCTCAAAAAAAAAAAAAAACCAGTATATCTCATAAACCCCCTCCCCTGCCTTCCTTCATCCTCTCCTCTGAACCACACCCACCTCAGTGAGCTACAGTCATTCATTCATTCATTCAACAAACGTTTGTTAAGTACCAATTGTGTATTTGGATTATCCAGACTGGTGAGTCAGGTGGAAGGAAAAGGGACATTTGGGAGTTTAGTTTGACCATAGTGCCAAGAGCTAATTCTACCCAATAAATTGACAGTAACACCAGCAATGACACTAATAATAATAAAAATAATAAAATCACTCAGCACTAAGCCCATGTCAGACACACCAGCTTCACATCCATTACTGGTTAATCTTCAGAGACAAACCCAAAGCGAGAATTGTATTAATTAATACACTCCTTTTCTTTTCTTTTTTTTTTTAGAGGCAGGGTCTCACTCTGTAGCCCAGGCTGGAGTGCAGTGGTGCAATCATAGTTCACTGCAGCCTTGAACTCTTGGGCTCATGCGATTCTCCTGCCTCAGCCTCCCAAATAGCTGGGACCACAAGGCACAGCACCCGGCTAATTTTTTCTCGAGATGGGGTTTTGCCATGTTGGCAAGGCTGGTGTCGAACTCCTGAGCTCAAGTGTCCTGCCCACCTTGGCCTACCAAATGGCTAGGATTAGTACGTGAGCCACTGCGCCCGGACCATTTTCCATTTGAGGAAACTGAGGCGGGGAGTGAGAGGTCACCAGTTGGAGGCTTCCTCAGAGCTCTGCCCCATTCCCTCCCAAGAAAGCATCCACTCCGGGGCCGTCTGGTCCTGGACCCCACACACCGCCGGTCCCAGGGCAGGGGTCTGATTGGGGCCTGGAGCCTAGCTGAGTTCAAGCTTAAGAGCAGCAGCAGGCACGGAAAGGCTGTTAGCTGTGGCCCCTCGAAACGCCCCACTGGGTGCTCTGGGCTCCGTTCTTTGGAGGTGTACGTGTCTCAGAGGGAGCTGGAACGAGCCCCAGTCAGCGGGGCCAGATCTGCCCTAATAGGGTCCAGCAGACAGGAGGGTCCGCAGCCCACCCTAAAGGGGCAGCAGGAGGAACTCGGTCCCGCTTGTCTTAACGTGGGAGGGTTGTGTCTGGCCCACCTCATGGGAGTACAGCAGGCAGGGGGCACGCGTGGGTCAGCCCCGATGGGGGCGGCAGGCAGGGGCACACGTGGACCCTTCCCGGTTGGGGCAGCGCCCAGGGGCATGCGTAGAACCGTCCCGATGGGGTTAGCGAACAGGAAGCATCTCAGACCCGCCCCGAAGGGGACAGCGGGCAGGGAACGCGTAGACCCTCCCCTAAGGGGACAGCCAGCAGGGAGCTGGCGGGGACCCGCCCGATGGGGACGGCGGGCTCGGCTCACCACAGCGCCGTGCGCTCCCGCGGGTGCCGCAGCCGCTCGAGTGCGCCCAGCGTGGTGTGCAGCGCATGGGCCGCGTTTCGCGCCAACAGCGCGATCAGCACGCGCGGCGCCTGCAGGGGCGACTCCGGGCTCCAGCGCTCCTCGGGAAAGTAGGCGTCGGCGCCCGGCGGGCCTCCCGGCGGCAGTGGCACCAGCAGCAGAAACAGCAGCGCCGGGAGCGGCCTCCCGCGCCGCCGTCCCGCGCGTGGGGCCGCCGCCATAGCGCCACGCGTCTCCTTTAAGTCGTTTTTGTGCCGGAGGACGCTGGCCGCACGGTAAAAAAGTCTTCAGGGCCCCGCCCGGCCGCGCGCCTTAAAGGGGAGGAGCGCGCCTGAGGTGAAGTCCAGGCCCCGCCTCCAGACGCTCTCTGAGACTCAAAGCCCGGAGTGACGTCACCTGCAGCCCCACCGAAGACGCCCCGCCCCCGCACCATCCTTAAAGGTACAGAGCGCTTGGAGAGGGAGGGCTTGGAAGGGAAGTTAGGGTTAGCTTTAGGGTTAGGAACCCGCGCTTCCTCTGGTCGCTTCCTACCACCTGAACCTCAACCTGATGCGCCCCACCTTCGCCAAGTATAAAACCCAGGCTGTGCCACCAGGCGGGCTTGGCTACTTAGGACGTGGTTTGGGACCCTAGAGACCTGAGCCTCAGTTTCCTCTGCTGCAACGTGGGTTTGGCATCCTGGTTCTGGACCTCACGCCTGTAATCCTAGAACTTTGGGAGGCAGAGGCGGGCGGATCACCTGAGGTCAGGAGTTTGAGACCAGCCTGGTCAACATGGTGAAACCCCGTCTCTACCAAAAATACAAAAAATAGCTGAGCGTGATGGTGCGCGCCTGTAATCCCAGCTTCTCCGGAGGCTGAGGCAGGAGAATCGCTTGAGCCCTGGAGGCAGAGGTTGCAGCGAGCTGAGATCGTGCCACTGCATTCCAGCCTCGGCAACAGGAGTGAAATTCCGTCTCAAAAAAAAAAAAATACATCTGAACATTTTTTTTCTTGTCTTCACAGAGAGGGTCTTGCTCTGTGGCTCAGGCTAGAGTGCAGTGGTATGATCATGGCTCACTGCAGCCTCAACCTCCCAGGCTCAACTGATCCTCCTGCCTCAGTCTCCCAAGTAGCTGGGACTACAAGTTCACTCCATCACACCCAACTAATTTTTAAATGTTTTGTAGAGATGGGGTCTCACTATGTTGCCCAGGCTGTTCTCAAACTCCTGGGCTCAAGTAATCCTCCCACCTCCACCTTCCAAAGTGCTGAGGTTACCAGTGAGCCATCATCACCGGTTACAACTTAATTCTTTTTCTTTTTCTGTTTTTTTGAAATGGAGTCTCACTCTGTTGCCCAGGCTGGAGTGCAATGGCGAGATCTCAGCCCACTGCTGAGATATCAGACTTCTGCCTCTCAGGTTCAAGCGATTCTTTTGCCTCAGCCTCCGGAGTAGCTGGGATTACGGGCGCCTGCCACCACGACCAGCTGATTTTGTATTTGGGAGTTCGAGACAGTCTGGCTAAGATGGTGAAACCCATCTCTACTAATAATACAAAACTCAGCTGGGCGTGGTGGCGCCCACCTGTAGTCCCAGCTACTTGGAAGGCTGAGGCAGAAGAATCGCTTGAACCCAGGAGGCAGAGGTTGCAGTGAGCCAAGGTCGCACTACTGTACTCCAGCCTGGCAATAGAGCTACACTCCGACTCAAAAAAGAAAGAGGGCCGGGCG